TATTTTAATAAAAGTACTTATCTTATTAAAACTTTTTTTACTTAAATAATAGTACTCAACTTATTTATACTTTTTCTATCTACACGAAAGTACTTAACTTATCAGATCTCTTTCTATATAAATAAAAGTACTTAACCTAACAAATCTCTTTCTATTTAAATAATATTACTTATCTTATTTAATATCTTTTAATTTTTTAGTAAAAGTACTTACCTAGATAAATCATTTTCCCTTTAAAAAAAAGTACTCAACTCATTCAATTTCTTTTTATTTAAATAAAATTTCTTAACACATCAAATTTCTTTCTATTTGAATGAAAGAACTTAACATATTATATGTCTTTTTATTTTAATATAAGTACCTAAATAATCAAATCTCTTTTCATTTGAATAAAATTACTTTACTCAACAAATCTATTTCTATTTGAAGGAATTTATTTATCTTATCAAATTTCTTCTAATCACTTTGACAGTACTTAACTCATCAAATCTCTTTTGATTTAAATAAAAGTATTAAACATATCAATTCTCTTTGTATATCAATATAAGTTTTTAACATATCAATTATTTTTCCATTTGATTAAAAGTACTATACTTATCAAATCTCTTTCTATTTAAATGAAAGTACTCAACTCTTCAATTCTTTTTTTATTTGAATAAAAATACTAATCTCATCAAATCACTTTCTATAAGAATATAAGTACTCTACTTATTAAATCAATTTTCATTTAAATAAAAGTACTGACCTTTCAAGACTCATTCTATTTCTATGACAGCTTTCAACTCTTTAAATCTCTTTTCATTTAAATAAATGTACTAAACAAATAAAATCCATTTTTTATTTAATTGAAAGTAGCAAACCTATTAAATCCCTTTTTTATTTGATTGAAAGTACTCAATTCAATAAATCTCTCTCCATTTAAACGAAAGTACTCAACTCATCAAATCTGTTTCTATTGGAATGAAAGTAACTTATTCATTAATTCTCTTTCTATGAGAATAAAAGTACTGAA